CTCACAGACGAGTTAGGAAACAAAATTAAACACAACAGCACTGAAAGAGAAGAGATGCCACCCAAGAGAGCACTGCGGATGGAAAAGGACATGGAGGACATCCGTAAGTCCTCAAACAGCAGGTCTGAGGAGCTGGCTGAGGTAACGCTACAGCAGTTTCAGCTCACACAACTTTGGAGGAAGTAAAGCTACTAAAGAAGACCATAACTGAACGGGACAAGACCATTGAGGAACTAGAAAAAAGGATTGATAACTTGGAGCAGTACATGCGAATGGAGGATGTGATCATTCCTGGGATGAGTTAACCTCGCTCGTACGCAAGAGCCTCAGCAGGAGGGAGAAATGTTGGCGAAGACGCCGATCCAGAGGACACACAGTCGTTGGAAGGGCGAGTGGTGCGTTTGTTGGCTGGGAAGAACATTCATCTGGATGCTGGGAATATTGCTGCCTGCGATACTCTTCCGAGGAAAGGTAAGTCCAAACCTGCCATTATTCTGAAGTTTAAACAGGAAACGCAAAGTGGAACTGATGAGGCAAGGGAGTAAGTAGAAGGGATCTGAGGTGTACTTGAATGAGCATCTTACGCAGAAAACAGCCAAAATTGCACATGAAGCCCGCAACCTGAGGAAGAACAACGATGAAGACGACCTGGACGAGGAACTGCAAGGTTTACATCCAACTGAATGGAAGTACACTCGACCAAGCTGAAGTGGTTGTGGTACGAGATCTTAAAGATCTAGAACAATTTAAATGATGCTAAAAATTACAGACAAAATGTCGAGATTAATGATTGGGACTTGATTAGTAATTTATAAACATCTGAATGGTTGGATCTTTCTGTGTACGGAAGGTGCTCAGAGAACTTATTCTAGCAAGGCCTTCGAGGGTGAAGTGGACTCACTTATCTATAATGTAGGATATTACTTAAAGAAGTCATGGACTCTTACCCTTCTTATTCTTAAAGAAGTGGCTGACTAGAATAATTGTTTTCACTTGGACATTTAGAGTTCGGTTCACGGCTCTGTAGGCAGATATGTGTGTTGTACTAAATGCGGGGAGG